CCCCAAAACCCCAAAACCCCATGAAAAGAGAATCAGCATATTTTATAATGAAAACAATCTTATTTTTAAATATAAATTTAGTAAATAATCAAGGGATCCATGTAATGACATCGATGGCAGTTTGTGCGAATCTTGAAACAAGAGGGAAGTGAAATTTATCTTTAATTACAATCTCTCTAAGTTTTTCCAAGCATTCCTTGAATTTCTCTCTAGCAGGTGGGTATTCACCGACAGCTGATATCATTTAAACAACATTGAGTTTAGTTTAATCTGAATCATCATAAAGTAGCTCAATTATTCTATCTAGCATTTCTAAATCATAGATCTCTACTTTTCCTGCTTTTAGTTAAGCTAATGATGCTAAAGCTCTAGTTGCTGCAGTTCTTACTTCTGAGACATCATCAAATAGCATCTTAGTTAAAGGCTGAATTGATTTAGCTTCTATTGTCTTCTCTTTCCCTTTGACATTATAACTAATTGACCCAAGGTTAAGAGCAGCTAGTTCTCTAATGAATTGGTTTCTAGAAGCTAAATGAGTATTAAGTCTAGCTAATACAGGAGTATTAAGCAATAAAACTGGAGCTTTTTCTCCTTCAGCAAGAATTTTCATCAGTTGCAAGATAAGAACTAATATTTCTTCTTCCTTTTCAAGAATCAATTTATCAACTAATACTGGAACGATTTCAAAATCGATAACAGCATCAATGCCGAAAGTGTATTGAGCTAGATTAATAAGACAGGTGTAAGCATTATTTCTAATTTGAATTTCTTGATCATCGAAAAGCTTTCTAACATCTTTGACAATCTGTTGGTTGACAAGGATTTCTCTGCCTTTCTCAGTGCAAGCAACTTTTAAAACTGCTCTTGATGCAAGTTCACGGATAACGTTATCTTTCTCGGTGAAGCATTTTACAAGCTATTTAAGGATTGAGGATTCTAGAGCGAAGTTAAGCTTATCTGCCTAGTGGAAATCCTCATTTATTTCGATTAATACTTTCCTTCTCAGGACATCGTCCTTACCTGCCATTTCTCTGCACATCTTTTCTAAACACAATATTTTAAGTTATATTGATTTTTATTTCAGAATAAGTTGAATTATTATTGCAAGTCAATAACTTACCATACTTCTGATCTCCATAGGCAAAAGTCAAAGTAGAGAGTGGCATAGGCTCTGGATTAGTTTAGTTACGATGGAATGAAATGAATCTGGTATTTGAAAGTGTCTCCTCCATTATTTTATTTTCTTTTATATTTTCTCGAATTAAATTTCAATATTCAGTTTTAATGTTAGCATTGGGGTTTTGGGGTTTTGGGGTTTTGGGGTTTTGGGG